CACGAGAAAATATCGAAGAACATACAAAACATCCAAATTTTCAGACGAAAGATCAAGCATTAAGGGGAAAAAAAATTCTAGAACGTAAACGCTTAAAGATCTAGGAAAAGGATCGAGACTAGAAACAATGCCTACACGATTGCATAGAAAACATTGAACGATCGAACTACAGAACGATTGAAAGCATAATCAGCAAAGAAAAGAATGCCGCGCAAGAAGAATCTCTCGAGACAGGACATGATCAAGGATAGCATAAGCAACATACCTAGATTTCTTCGCTTCCTCCTGTGCGCGATCGCCATCGCCATAGACGAGAGCGCGGCCGCCATAGCCAAGCTCTCACAGATATTTTCGTGGGCTTTGGTTTGGAAAAATTTAAGCCTAGGCGGGAAAGGCTTGGTCTAAATGACAACTGTCCTTGGAACACGTGTCCTTAAACCTCCTCTCTTTTTAAAATACCCATTAGGGTTCTTCGCTCTGCTTGATCATCACGGTATTTCTAGCGACATTTCTCTCGGAGGCAAGATCCTAGCTATTCGAGGTAAGATTTACCGCCTGGCAGTGGCATTTTCTTAGCGACCGATCGTTTTCTTGCTGCTAGCAGCTTGGCGCTCACACTCATGGCGCTGGTCTTGATCTTCTTGCTCGCGATCCGGATATTTCCTGCTACCAGGGCATCGACGCTCTCGTCGGATCTCCAAGCCCTCAAGGATGTCAAGGCCGCGGTAGATCCCTCCAGCATTCACTCCACGACCTGTCTCGGCTCCTGGGACTTCGCCGCCGCCGATCCCTGCGACTCGCGATCCACATCGCATTTCGTGTGTGGCATTGGCTGTAGCAGCGACGATCCTCTCAGCCGCCGCGTCATCAGCTTGATCCTCGACGGCTCCGGCTACAATGGTACCCTCTCTCCATCGCTGGGCAGCTTGACCGCGTTACAGGTGCTCGATTTCTCTGGAAATTCCTTTCACGGCACCATTCCAGCGTCCCTGGGCCAGCTGACTAGCCTCATCAAGCTCGACCTGTCAAGGAACTCTTTCACCGGCGCGATTCCAGACACCATCTCACAGCTCTCGAATCTATCCTACCTCTCAGTCGCCAACAATCACCTCGAGGGGCCGATTCCCAGCTCCATCGCCAATCTATCAACCATCGAGAGGCTCTTCCTCCACAACAACCAGCTCGCCGGAAAGATTCCCTCGCTAGATGGTTTGCAGAGGCTGAGCTACTTCGACGCTAGCAACAACCGGCTGTCCGAGCTGCCGCTCAAGCTCCCGGTTTCGCTGCTCCAACTTTCGCTGCGCAGCAACCAACTTGGTGGGAGCTTTCCACAGAATCTAGCCCAGCTCCAGGGGCTGGAAGTTCTGGACCTGAGCTACAACCAGTTCGCCGGGCACCTGGATTCGTCGCTGTTCGAATTGCCATCTCTCCAGCAGCTCACGGTCTCGCACAACCAGATCGCTTCGCTGGGTGTTCCACGACTTTCCAACGTGGAGAGCGAGCTTGTGGCGGTGGACATAAGTTACAACCAGCTCGAAGGTGCTCTGCCCGTGTTCTTGGCAAACATCAGCAGGCTCTCGGCACTCTCGCTTCGCTACAACAACTTCAGTGGCACCATCCCTTACGAGTTCGCTTCCAAGGCGAGCTCGGCTTCCAAGGAGGTCCAGCCGCTCATGCGCTTGTTCCTGGACGGCAACTATCTCATCGGCGAGGTTCCTCAGCCATTTCTCGAGGTTCCGGGAAGGTTTAGCGCGAGTTTTATCTACAACTGCCTGGCCAAGTGCCCGGAGAGCTTTGCGTTTTGCCAAGGAGGTGGACAGAGGCCAAAGTCAGAGTGCCCGACTCTGTGAGGACTGAATCCAACAGCCAGGAAGGAGGACGAGAAAGAGAAAACAGGACAAGAACTATACGTATGCAGCAGTCAGCTCAAAGCTCTGGGTTTGGATTTCATATACTAACCGCGTGTGGAGGAATTTGCAGTCACGTAATACGTCTTACTGTAGGTGAGAGGGAGACGAGCTACCTAGCTTTTGATCAGATCGTCTCTCCAAACTGTTGCTATCCTACATAGAGGTATGGCTTTGCGCTCCTGGTGTCTTCTACTTCTCAGTGTGTGGAAGTTTTTCTCATCGCGTGTCACTTGGCCAGGTGCACAGATGATGAACATGAGGAGAAAGAGGATCAAGGTTTTCTTTCTTTTTAAGTAGTGCGAAGATCTTTACTGGAGTATCGCGGCAAATCCCAGAAACTTCCAGCTTTTCAAAGGTGCAGCAACAATATCATTGTCCTTGAGAGGACAATATGTCTTTTTATTCAAGTGCTTCTAATAATGTTCTTGGGTTGCTGTTATGTTACAGAACGGAGCCAGTGAGACAGAGACCAAGCACAGACCAGACTGGGAGGATGAGGTAGTAACACCAACAACAACATCCATAAGAACAAGGTGTGTGAATCGAGCCCGGGCTTTAGTGGCGTAGAGGAGGTACTAGAAAGCAAAGCTGGACTGGGAAATTTTTGGAAGAACACAGGGAATAGGAAGTGGACAGGGCACGTACGAGCGGGAGGAATACAGCTGGTCTGTAGCAGCATGAATGGTTTTTATTTGGAGTGATTTGGATTCGCCAGACAGCTAGCAAAAGGGAAAGGCTCGATCTTCAATGCTCGGAAAAGGAACTACTTGGGGGACCCTGGCACAGTGGTGCTGGTGCTGCTGATGGTGGTGGTGGTGGTGGTGGTGGTGGTGGTCACTGGTGGTGGCCACAAAACTAAGTAGTTTCACTAGTGTACGATGGGACTCGACTCGACTCGACACTCTCAATCTCCTTCTCCAGAGGCTGGCAGAGAAGCTCAGACAATATCACCGTCTTCTACCCAAGATCGGACTCTGATCGTCCGGGAGATCAAACTTTAAGCGGCGGTGGCACGGATCTATCTACCAGAGGTACGTTTTCTTAATGAAGCTTCGAGCACCGCTTTTGTCAACAGCCGTGATCTGATGTGGAACGTACTCCAGGCTCACAAGTGGCGCCGCGCGAAAAGGGACACACCTCACAGCCTTTTGATTCATGGCCGAGTGCATGCGTTTTGGTCTAAAGTTTGTGGCCTGGTAAAACGTATTCATTGAGAGAAATCTGCGAAGATTCACGGGGCAGTATTTTTAATCGTTTCTTTTGTTTATGCTGATCTTTGGGTTCCTCGTAGGGTAAGCTCTTGCTTGTGCTCCAGTTCTAAACATTCTATTTGGTGAAGAACATGAAGAACATCGCCTTGAGTGAAGCAGTGGTGTTGTTGTTGCTCAATTCAATCAATGGAGGTTTTTTTTGTTTGGAAGTGGTGGGCGTCTTTGTCCCCAAACTCCAACCTTCTTGTTCTCTTTCTTTATTTCTTCTTTTCCCTTTTCTTCACAAAATGTGTATTATTTTCGTTTAATAAAGAATTATTGGCAAATTATTGATGAGTTTTAAAAGAGAACGTCAGCAGCAGGAGTCGAGCCTGCGCGGGCAAAGCTTCGAGTCTGTCTCCTTAACCCCTCGGACACACTGACATTAACATGTAAACTGTGATTAGTCGATGAGACACGAGATATTTTTGACTTCGGCTTCACGCGGCAAAAATAATCATCAATGCTTGTTTAAAAGATCACCCTGATTACATGTCATCCGTGTGCGTGCTTTGGCCTAGAAATTTAAGCGTCAATTGTACGCAAACTCACACAAGATACAAGCTCCACGCAAAGGCACGCGTGCATGTAGCATTTCTTTAATATCCTAAGCATAGCTTAAGTTAAACTTGGAAGATTCCCCAAGATCATGTCCGGCCTTATAATATTCTTCAAAGGGCAAAACCAACGTCGTCCCGATTCGTTCGCCTTGGACGTCCAAATCCTGGAATCCGAAACGTTTAGAGTAAACTACGTAGGAGAAATCCCCGCATCGCATTAATAAAACCAAAGGATTAACAAGGAAGGCTGTCGGGGAATACTGGGCTTTGCCCTAAACTACATTTTACAAAAGGTGGCGGACATGTTGTTAGTGAAAGATGCGCTTTATTTGTAGCTAAAAGGTATACAAACTATAGCCCTAACCTAATGCTTCGATCGGACGGCCTGTGACGGCCTGTCAACCTGTCAGCTGTCTTGTCACGGTTAAAACAACAACGTAATCGCATTAAATCCAAAGCCCAGTAAAAACGTTTTTCCCGTGAGACGAATTCACGGAATCACCTACCTGAAGTTTGGAAAGCAGGGAACACTTCAATGTTCACTAAAAACTATACTTGCTTCTGCTTTGCCTCTAACGTAACGCCCTCTTAACCAAAGCTGGAGTTAGCAGACCACACGTGGAGCAATCCCAACTGTCGATACCCGACATCGGACGGACGCCGCGGAACCCGTGTCTTATCGTCTGACAGTCAAAAGTACGTCCACGTGTACGCGTATAGCTCAGTTCCGGACACGTGGCAGAATCTCAGGCGTTGGATGGGGGCGCCCATCGACGGCTGGCAGCGGTCCGGCCCCCGGCGCCGTCAGATGGAACCCAATCAACGGTCCCCGCGTTTGAAAATGCTTTTCCAGACAGCGATGGTATGCGTTCTCTCTTTTGTTTGTATGATAGAAGAGAGGAGAGAGAGAGAGAGAGAGGGACAAGAACAAGAACAAGAGAGAGTTTTAGTGAACTCCCGCAACCGGTGCTCCGAGGCTTCGGGGGAGCAATTCCATTCCCCCCAAAATCACTTTTTTTTTCCCCAGCCTTTGCAAAATTTTCCTTTTTTTTTTGTCCCCGCTGCTTTGCTTTGCTTTGTTTGCTCAAATCCTCGAGAAGTTCCGCAAAGAAACCCATTACCGTGGGGGCCATTTCCCATTTCTACGCCCTTCTCCTCCTCTTCCTCCGCCTCACTCTACTGCGATCTTCTCTCTGGTGATTCTCCGCTGCTTTCGAGTGATCATCCGGCTATTACCGTAATTCACACCGTCCAAGCCGGGGCTAGATCAGAGGTCGAGATTAGCATCCAAGCTCCTGGTTTTTTTTCTTTCATCACTGCATCATCATCTCGACATCAGCAAGACCAGCACCAAAGTTTCCAGCTTACTACTATTAAGCAGCAGCAGCAGTTTCTTCATCTCCTCCTTCTTCGTCTTCTTCGTCCCTGGAAAGTTAAGACTGATCTTGAGATATCCTGGAAAGATAAGAGAGTTACCTGGTAGCTAGGGGTCACTGTTTTGAGCTGCTTGATCTTGTTGCGTTTTTCCTGGCTGTGCTCTGAGCTCTGATTGATTCCTTTTCCTCCTCTTTCTTTCTTTTCCTTCTTTTTTCCTTCCTTGCTGGGCACACTGCTGCTAATGATGCAGTAGCAGCAGCAGCCGGAGCAGCATCAGATCAGTGCTTTGCTGATTCACTTGCTTAGTCTTGGCTTGAGCACTAAGTCAGTCCGGTTGAGCAGCACCTTGAGTTGAGTGATTGCAAGAGCTTGATGATTATCTTCTTCGTAATAATGCGTTTCTTTGCTTTGCTCTGACCTGGATTCCAATCCAAGCTCTCGTCTCGCATAACTCTTGCTCCTTCCTCCTGTGGCCTGTGTGATTTCTTGAGCTCTAAGCCATTCGATCTCCCTTCTCTTTGTGCAGTGTTCGAGTTAAGTTGAGCCCAGCAGTACGACTCCCAGTGATGTGCCAGCGGATTAGCGTTTAAAGTCCAAGAATTTCTCATCCCTTCGTTTTGAGTGACCCCGGAGAGATAAGACTCCTTTTCTTGCTTCCTTAGAGCGTTGTTTTGTGTCACACGCACTGTTCCACAAAACCGCGGCATGGGATGGATACCTGGAGCAAAGTGAAGTCTAAGTTTCCAAGGAGACCAGGATTGGAATTCCATTACCAGTAGATAAGAGCCGGGTAACACCAACAACATTCTTTTCTCAGCGCTTGTGCCAAATCCTCTCTCTTCAATCTGCAGTTTATCCACTTTGGTACTACTACTGCAAGCACGCAAGCAAGCGAGGTCCATTAGCACAAGCCAGCGACTTACACAAGTGGTGGTTTAGCCGAAGGATTTTCCACTCGAGTTGCTGTAAATCCCCCCCGGGTCAAGCTCGCTCCACACTCTCGGGGGCTTTGTCTCAGCAACAGCAGCAACTGCAACCAAGTAAGCAGTGCTTGAGTCCCTGTTTTGCTCGCAAAGTAGGATGGATTTAGAGGCAGAGATCCCGGTGTCAATGCCTCAGCCGAGCTACCTTCATGACTCGTCCAACAAGTTGAAGCTCATGGCCAGTGGTGCCAACGGAGTCACGCCCGTCACAGCCGTGGAAGAAGCCGCGGCAGCAGTGGTTGCAGCGTCGCGAGCTACTTTCGCTGAGCCCATCCTAGCACAACCTCTTGCAGCCGGAACTCCAAACACCGCCACCACCACTAATGGCTCCAAAGTTGAGCCGAGCAAGAAGCCGGTGCGGTACAGGGAGTGCCTCAAGAACCACGCCGCTGGCATCGGTGGTCATGCTCTCGACGGCTGCGGAGAATTCATGCCCAGCGGAGAAGAAGGCACCATCGAGTCGCTCAAGTGCTCGGCCTGCGACTGCCACCGGAATTTTCACAGACGAGAAGTCGAAGGTGAGCCTCCGTCTTGTGTATCTGCCTGTTTAAAGCTCCTCCTCATTCGTCCCCAGGTGCCAAGGACGTGATGTCCAAGAAGAAGCCATCGTCAGTCCTCCCGCTGCAGCAACACGGCTCTCCACTGGGTTCCATGGCCCGCTCCCCGGGAGCTCTCGTCGCGCTGAGTAATTCCGACCAGTCGGATGATCACGATCTTGGAGCTCAGCACCAGACCACGTACAGCTTGGCTCACCACCTGATTCCGTCTGCCATCAAAAAGAGGTTCAGGACCAAGTTTACAAACGAGCAAAAGGAAAAGATGTTCCACTTTGCTCACCGGCTGGGTTGGAAAATCCAGAAGCACGACGAGGGCGAAGTGCAGCAGTTCTGTGCTGATGTCGGGGTCAAGCGGCACGTCCTCAAGGTGTGGATGCACAATAACAAGAACACCTTCGGGAAGAAGATGAGCTGAACAAGCAGCAGCCGCAGCAGCAGCAGCAGCAACAGCAACACTTGGTGTTCGTTCGTTTCGGTTTTTACGTCTCTCGTTCACGGTTGGTTTCTGGAGCAGATTGGAAACAGGTTCTCTTTGCTCCTCCGAAAGTTTGTCAGGCTCTAAGAGAAGAGTTTCTTCATCCTGTGCACAAACCAGAGAAGAAGATCGTGAGGCTCAATCAAACAAAGGCTGACAACTAAACCTCTATGTAAGTAAAAGCTTATAGTTCTTGAGTTCCCGCTTCTTTCTTTCCGTGATCTACATTCTTTAACTTCTCCTTTCATCTAGCGACTTGCATATTCCTTGCCTCTCTACACACATATCATACGACTGCTGTAAACTACCAGTTCCCCCCACTACTATTCATTTATTTACCATCGCTAGAATTCCAGCAGTGCTGGGTTTCTATCTCAATAAAGTCATTCTTTTTCTCTCTTTCTCTCTCGTGCATTTTTCCTCTCGCGCAGATAGGCTTTTAAGTTTTCATACGAACACGGAAGCATATATAAAAAAAGAGAGCTAAGAGCTAAAGAACATGGATGCAGCAGTGTTACCTCTTGAATTGGCTGGTATAAAGTCGAAATAGCAGTTCATGCAGAACAGCAAGCACTGGAAAGAAATTATCTCCCGTGTCATAGTACCTCCTGCAATACTACAGAGAAATCCCATCACCGCTACTAACAGCGAAAAACAAAACTGTAATATCGTTGATTAATGCTGCTGCCACTACAATGCAGTTTGGTCCACACCGGGGATTACAAGGAAGGACGTGCTCCGAATTATCTATTCCATCCAGGCATGCACGAAACTTAGTCTATTGCCTATTATACTACTACATGCTTTGCACCTGAAACAAGGGAATAGTGTAGTGTACCTTATAACGCATTAGAATGGTGTCCATTTATTGCATCCACTGCTTAACACCCCTGTGCCTGCAATACGTACCCCCCAAAGAAGTGAGGACCAAGCTGAGAAACTTAAGCGAGAAACCGAAAGCAAGGAGAGAAAACAAACATCAAAAATAAAAACTTTGTACAAACTCTACGTACCATTTGTCAATTCTTCTAGTGTTTGCTTCTTAAAGCTGGCCTGCCACAAATCAAACGCCGATTCGTCGTGAGATCATACCAATATAATTGAGCAGCGGGGTGATGTCATATATGTAACTATCGGGCCAAAATAACTTGGCGCCGTGATTTGCTCGGATTTCACGGTTGACTCAAGCAAGCCTCTCCAAAACGGGGAAGAAGAAGCATAAACCTGTATTCAGGAGCATACTACATTACATTTGAGTACCAACAGTAGAAGAGGCCCGGTCCGGGAGAGACGACCGGCATACCACTGATGGAAAAAAAAAAGAAGCCTTCGAGAAGAACTGGCGACAAGAAAATAAAACAAAGCTTTAGAAAACTGGGAGAAAGACAATCCTACTATACGAGGCTGCCAATCATTACCGGGGAAAGAGACGACGTCAATGATGGAAGAAAGTATTCTCGGGCGGCTGCTGCAGCTTCTTGTTGTGAGAAGCTCCCATCTCACGCTTGAGCTGCTTCAGTATGTCCTCCATGGTGTTATCGCGTCGCCAGTTCGAGAGCAAAGAAAAATTCTTGGGTTCCACCTGAAAAAGCACAGCGAAAAGTTGATGAACAAATTGAAAAAGCTTGTCTACAAGTAAGATCACTAATGGAAACACCAGCAAGTATCAAGAAAACAAAACAAAAAGTGCTTATTGCACAGGTAAGATTACTAGTGGAAACACCAGAAGCTAGACCATGTATCAGGAAAACCAAAAAAAGAACAGCGAGTGCTTACTGCACAAGTAAGATCACTAGTGAAAACACCGGAGGCTGCAAAAAAAAAAAGCGAGTGCTTACTGCACAAGTAAGATCACTAGTGGAAACACCAGAAACTAGACCACAAAGCCAAGAAACAAAATGCGAGTGCTTACAGCTCCAGTCTCGCGATTAACGCAAGTCATGTTGATTCGCGAATGGAATCGCACACTTGGTGGCTTATCCGGATAGTCTTTGTCGCAGTACAACTTAAGTTGATAAATGCGTCCTTCGTGAACAGACTGCACAGAATAAATGAGAAAAAAAAGCGAAAGAGTCAGGGCATTATAAGAGCAAAGAAAGAAAAAAAAGAAAGAGGACATTGCTAGGCCCCAGAATTGTGCCAGTCCACGAACACATGTACACATCGTCACTGTCATCCATGCCCAAGCTCACAGACGCATCGCCAAGGCCCTTCTCCCCTCTCTCCAGCTCCTCGAGCAGCCGGAAATTCCTGGGAACTAGGGAAAGAGAAGAAATCATCCACGTACCCTTGGCGCCGCGAGCAATTTGAGACGATCAACTCACCTAGAGCCATCCCAGCGCCTGCGCGATCCAGCAGCGAGCTGGAGGGAGCGAAAGGATCGACCGCCCCAACGGAAGAACCCTAAAAGTATAATTGAGAGATTTATTTTCACGGGCCCTTTATAGTACTGTCCCATCACTTTTTTTTTCTGTGACGAATGCGATTCTTTCTCATTGTTTCTTCTTCTTCTTCTTCTTCTTGGATTTCTTCTCGTTCTTGAGACGCTCTTGCTCGAGGAGCTCGGCTTCGATGCGAGCTTTCTCCTGTAAGAAGAAGATCAAAGAAGAAGATCAAACAATTGGAGACGAGAGAACCTCTCGTTCGCGTTCCAGAGCTTCCGCACGGAGCTTTGCAGCTTCTTCCTCCTCAGTTCTTCTCTAAAATCCAAATTCACAGACACGAACTTACAAGTGTTGCATGTGAGCGTAAACCTCTTCTGCAAGGATCTCCTCTCTTCTTCTCCAGTCGTAAGCATCTTGATCTCTCTTCTTTGCTTCAGCCTCCTGAAAAACGAAAGCAGTGAGAAAAAATGGAACGTAGACATGAAAGACTTTACCAGTTGCTTCAAGCGTTGCTGCTCTTTGTGTGCTTTCTCTTGCGCTAATCTGTTTCGCTCCGCGGCTTTCACTTGCTCACGTCCAGCCTCTCCCTTGTCTGTAACAAGTTTGATCTGGAGAAAAACGAAAAATAAAAGATAGAACTTGGAAAACGATCCAGGTTACCATTTGCCGGATAGTGTTGTTCGTTGTCAGTTGTACAGGAGTGTTGCCGTAGTCATTTCTATGAGTCACAGAGGCACCCTCCTGGCCTTGAACACACAGTAACAAGTTGAAAGAGAGAAACCAAAAAAGAAAAACAAAAGGATCCATCACAGCAATCGCAAGAGAAACTTAAAGACTTCTCGTACCAAAATCAAGATCTTGGCGATTTGTACATGGTTCCGGCTGCAAGCAAGATGCAAAGGAGTGTTCCCACACTCGCCTACAGCGTTTATTTCCGCCATCTTGATGATTATCATCTTGACGAGTTCTTCGTCTCCTCTCAATGCCTGAAAGATCGCGAAAGAGTGATCTAGAGTTCATTAGCACACTTACCGCCCAGTGAAGAGCAGTATCGCCAACGGCATTTTGCATCTTAACATCGGAGTTCCTGATGATAAGATACTTCGCCATTTCCACGTTTCGATTTTTGATGGCAATGAGCCTAGCATGCCAATCTTCAATAAAAAAAAATCGCGAAACGAAAGATCCAAGAGATCCAAAATCTCTCGCGAAATTCTTACAGAGGTGTGTTCTGAGTGATGGGATTGGGGATATTGACATCCATCCTGCCCTCCACAGACTCGCGAACTTCATCGAAATTCTCCTCTTCCGCGGGTTCCCAGACCTCTCTCGGCTGCGGCTTCTCGGCGAATGGATCTACTTCCTGCACAAACGAAACAATCCCCTTCCTTACCATCCGCGAGATGGATCGGAGAAAGCTCTCACCGCCTCCGCCATCGCGAGAGAGAGAACTAGGGCTTAACCTAGGCCTAGGCGCGAAAGGGATATGCTCCATTTCAAAATTGATGCCTTTGAATATCCGCGACGAGAGACCAATTTACACTCTAGAAGAAGCCTTCCGTGAGAGCATACGTCCGAGACTTGAGAGTTTCTGGGAGTTTCTCAATAGCTTCGATGATCTCCTGGAAGAAAAAATTTATGACGAGAAAGGATCTCTGTGAAGTGAAGTACCTGTTTGCTGTACCGCGCGGAGAAGTGGATGAGGAGAATCGCTTTGTTTTGGAACTTGTCAGACAATGCGACGATCTGGAACAGGACATTCGAAAGTTCTTGCTAGAATTTTTCATGAACTTGCCTCTGAAAGATGAGAGTGGCCATATTCACGAGCGTGTTCTACGGTTCCGCTGTCATTGATGAATGTAGCCTGGGAAGGAAAAAAGAGATTTGAGTCTAGAAACTTTGAGATCTAGAGACCAAGTTTAACCTCCATGATCAGCAGCTTTGCACGTAAAACGTCGGCATTGTTCTCGTCCCCTATGAAATCCACTGTGGTGTCTCCCGTGAAAGCCACCTCTGGACTCCGAGTGACGTTCGTTACCTGTGCAAACAGCACAACTTTCGTGACAACAATACACAATTCTGAGCTTACTTCCACGCCGGAGAATCGTAAAGACTTGATTTTGTCACCGGGAAGGCCCACGTATTCGGGTTTTAGTTTGTTCTTCACAGCATAGATTATGTAGCCCTGCAAATGTGGAGTGCAGAAATAAAAAGGATTAGAAAGTGTTCCGAGCTCATGCAATCTACCTGACTGGGAATTACGTGGTACGTCTTGAAAGGCTTGACGATATATCCTTTTCCAAGATCATACTCTTCACCAATCTAGCAAAAGAACGTAAGCAAATAGCTTGAAAGTACTTTGGAAAGAACTAAAGGAGCTAACTCAGACTAAGCTAGATTTTTGGAAGAACCACGAGAAAAATTTTCACCAACACTTTGGCAAGAGCTGAAAGAGCTAACTCAGACTAAGCTATAGTTGTGGAAGAACCACGAGAAAAACTTACATCAAGTCCGACCAGCTTCATCGAGAGTTCTGCTTGATCGAGCTCCCTGTAAACGTCGAAGAGCTTTTCCACGGTGGCTTTGATCGATGAAGGAACGAAAATCGTGGGAGGCTTCATGGAGTAGAGGCCGCGAGTAGCAACGTACATGGCAATCCCTCCCTGGAAAATTCACAAAAAATGAGCCATGATCCTTCAAAAATCCATAGAAAACGCTTACAATGTGATCCATGTGAGAGTGAGAAATGAAGAGAAAATCCTGAGAGATCGCCCGTTGAGGACAGCGTCCAATATCAAACGCGATTTTCATGGATGGAACGATCACACAGGTCTCATGGCCGCCGATCGAAATACCTTCTACGGCGAAGCCGCCCGCGTTCACGCTCGCCAGATCGCGCCGCCCTCCGCGCACGCTTGATTTGAGCTTCGCGTCTTCCAGCGCCACTTCCTCCATTGCGAATCCCGCCGTCGCCCTTCCTAATCGATGCCTCAACCCTACAATTCTCAAAGAAAATGGGCTTCCCGCCATAGCCAACATATTGTGTTGTTCTTGCGGATTATGGAATTAGGGTTTTGGCGATGGCGTTGGCGCTGGCGCGCGATCTTGGCTCTGGCGGCGCTGCTGCTGCCGATCCACATTGGCGCTGCGATCTGCGAGCTGCCAGTGAGTAGAAAAGTGAATTTTGCTGCTCAAATCTCTGTCCCCAGGAATTCTCGCACAGGAAGCACTCGAGATGGATCACAAGGATGTCAAAGCGTGGCATGAATTCCGTGGATTGGTCACGGATCCGGAGTATCCTGTTAGATGTTCCAAGCAACGAGACGAATTCCAGGTGAGCACTTGCTAGTCATCTAGTCATCTAGCAAGCTAACTTTGATTGTAGAATCCTACATTATATGGAGACGCTTACTTCGAGAGAAAAAGCTGTGGCTTGTACTCTGGACTTCAGCGTTCTTCCTCAACCAAAGGACGACTTGATCTGCTTTGCTGACTCCGAGCTGATCTCTGGAAAAACGATTCTAAGTTTCCCAGTAAGTGGCCAGAAAACTGGAAAATCAGACTGACATTGTCTTTCAGGTTGAGCAATGTATCACTGACAAGCTTGACGGTGGCTTGTTGGATGGAGCTCCTTGGGAAGTTAAGCTAGCGTCAAGATTATTGCGAGAAAGGTTAAACAGATTTTTCTTCTTCTCGTTCCATTGTTGCTAATTCTCGAGCACCAGGTCGCGTGGTGACACATCTAAATGGGCACTGTACATAAGTTCTTTGCCTAAATACGTGCCTCTTCCGCTCTTCTTTACAGATATGGTAGATTTGTAAGCTTTGCTGTGGCGCTGATCATCTTGTTCAATTGGCAGGAAATGAACAACATGGAGGACAGTTTTGTAGCAAATGAGGTCCTTGAAATGAGACGTTTTGCAATCTTGTCATTTTATGCTTTGCGTGGAGCAGACATTGCTCACGCCAAGTTTTCTGACTATGGTAAGCCAACTCAAATGTTGATCGACTTTTACAAATAGCTTGTTTTTACAGTGTGGGCACTCTCTATTGCATTCAGTTTGGGCTGCAGTTTAGGAAACGATGGAGGACACTATCTCTTTCCATTTCTGGGAATTACTGGGACTGGCAGCGAAAAAAATGGTTGTGCTTAAGTTCCAAGAACTTAGAAATTCTTATTTCACTTGTATGTTTTTTTGACAGCAAAACTTACGCTTGAGAGAGGCACGCTCAAGGTCGTTGCGAGTCGTAATGAAAGCAGGGGTGCAGCCATTTCATTTTATCGCGATGGCACTCGAAGAACTGATGCATTCCTCTTTCAAGGTTCGTTGCGCGTTTATCTTTCTCTAATGTTTGAACTTGAGAGCAGGGTTAATACTCAAATATGACGTTGTCGAGGGAGCAAGACTATTTTCCGGTTTAAATGTAACACACTTCCTTTCATCTTACACCCAGCCAGTTTATTTTTCTATTCATGCAGGACGTAGCTGAATGGTTTTTCTCGCGCTATGGTGGCGTCAACAGCAACAGAGTTTTGACGGTAAAAATCAGCAGGGATGCAGCAGAAACAGTAGAAGGTATGGCAAGTAGTGGGATTAAAACAGGCCTTTCAGTCAACTCGAGTGGAGTCGTTGCTCCGTCTTTGCTTTGCGTCGTCGCTTCACTTTTCTATGCAAAGAAGGCGATTGAAGCTCACAACAATAATTTGGGGGGCAAGGCACCGGCGGATTTTGCTGTAGTAGAGGATACAACCTGGGAGAAGGTGATGCACGTGATAGCAGCGAAGAGTTTACACCCCGCGCTAGATGTGTCAAGCAAAAGCACAGAGGTGAATGAGATTAGTTCGGCATTTTCGTCTGCAGTTAAAGCTGTACAGGAACATATAGGTAGTCTAGCGGCTAGGCAGACAACAGATTTTCTAGAGGATCAGTTTCTACTACAAGCGGCAAGATGGGAAGGTATCGGTGTGTCCGCAGAAGAACCATGTTCAGCTTGTCGGTGGCAGATCGATAAGCAAGGATGGAATGACGTGCTTGCTATAGGTTTCAGATCGTCTTTCAAAGACGTGCTTCGAACGGCTTTGTCAGAGCGTAAGCTTCCATCAAAAGCGGCTGTGAATGATGACTCTGGTGGAGAGTCCGTTTCGAAGCTGAAAAGTGTAAGCATTTATTGGTTACGCTTTGCTTTTCCGATTCTGAGGTGCTTTTTCTGGCTAGTTCTCAACTTGGATGGACAAACACGGATTCTCCATTTCTGAAAAGCTAGCTATTACGTCAATGAACGATACTTCCTACCAGAAAAACGTTGTCCGTGGTGTGCTCGTCTCGAGAGACATCGAGGAAGGAGAAACTCTTTGTATTCTTCCGGTAAGAAACTTGTGACGAGCGTGCTTTTACCCGCTTTTTTCTTCTCTAGCTTGAGGCAGGTCTCTATGATGGAAGTCCGGAGAGCGAAGCACAAAAGGATAGCTGGGATTTAGCTGCAAAACGACTCCTACAGGAAAAGTAAGCTTGTAACTGTGAATTCTACTTTTATGACATGATAATTGTTTACAGAGCATTGGGAAGGAGCTCCAAATGGGCTGATTATATCGCCATATTACCACGAGATATGGCATCACCACTATATCTGGACTCCACTGTATGTTGATTTTCTTTTTTCGATCACACACAAAGCTTTTACTTTCACCAGGACCTTCAAGAAGTGCAATGGATGCCAGTTTTACGGGAGGTGATTCAAGTGAGAAGATCCATCAAGAAAAGCTTTCAACAATTCAAGTCTCCTCCATTTTCGTTCGATGACTACAGTAAGGTTATCGTCATGCTCTCAACCACGCTAATAGTGTGGTGCCTTTTCAGAGTGGGCCGTGATCATGGTACACAGTCGTGCCTTCACTTTGCCAGTTCTTCCCGGTGACAGGTACTCCCACTACGTGCTGATGCCACTCATGGATATGATAAACCATCACTACACGTACCAGGTAAGGAATCAACTCAAGCATTCAGCGTGGGATCACACGCGTTTTTCAGGCAGACTGGATGTCTCAGCCCGTAATCGATCGTAAGCTAGAGATTATAGCCAAACGAGCATTAAAGAAAGGGGACCAGCTCTACGCTTCGTTTGGTCCTCGTTCAAACGACAATCTGTTTATGTACTACGGTAAGTTCTATAAAAAAAACAATTTTTTCTCGCTAATAACATGATGTATCTTCTTCGTGGCAGGATTTGTGCTTGAAGACAACCCATTCGACTCTGTACAGATATTTTCCTCATTTGAGGTGGGTCATCTATATGTGCTGAGCTAGCAGAGTTGAAAAGATTTTTGTTTCCAACCAGGATGCGACCTCTTGGTTCATTCAGACATGGACAACATATTGTCGCAATCATTTACACGACGCTGGCGCTTACCGGAACTGCAAACGAAGCTCATGGAGCGAGACCTGGCCCGCTGTGAAACACGCTATAGATGATTTCGAGAGCGGGAGCTCTGGCCAGAGCAAGGAATGGTGGGAGCTCGTCTCACACTGGGCTGACATTGGATACCAGTACTTACCATATCAACCCGGTGCCAACGTCTACGCATTTGGCATCAGCGATCCAAGTCTCATCTCAGCTTTCACAGCAGCGTCAACTCTCGTCGAGTTTCCTGCCAAGAAAGCGAAGACACAGACCAACAACAGCACCAGTTCCCTCGAAGAGTTCTTCGCCTGCATCGAGAAGTTGCAAGACAAGTTGATGGACAGACCTTTGCTGGGGAAGCACCCGTGCCAAGATCATCTCGTCTCGGCTCTAGCGCTGGAGAAAGATGGAGAAGCCATGAAGGACTTGGTCGCCAGACTTTCAGTAGCTATACGCTGTGCTGAGATCCTGGCTACGCTGCCAACGAGCATCTCCCAGGATCTCAAACTCCTCCGAGAGAGAAGCCCACCGAGCATCCACATTCAGCTGGCGCGAGAGTTTCGGTACCGCAAGAAGTTGCAGCTCAAGGCAGTGATCCACAGGGTGGTGACTGGAACCAAGACGACGAACAACGCAGCGAAAGAGAAGAACTACTTTGGTACATAGCAACGAGGACCTTCGTCCGGAATGACAGAAGTTTTACAAGTAACAACAAGGAAGAGCAAAGATTGTCAGACAAAGCGAGAGCGAGAGCTTACTTCGACCGGAGGAGCGCATTCTTTTCATTCATTTGGAACCAAAAGAACGACGATGAAAGGTGGCTACTCCTCACGAGTAATCGCCGATGAAGTTACTGTTGTCCGCGCCAAGGCCGAAGAGGACTCCAGCATACTTCTCGGTGGATCCCTTCAACGCCCCCTTTTTCAGCTTCTGGAACGCGCACGACGTGAGCAGGCTATCGGACCCAGCCTGGTGACACGGCCCAACGCGTTCCACCTCGAGCACCTCGGCCAGCCGGTTGAGACCCCCGTGGAGATTGTCGCAGAACTTCATGAGGTACTTGACGTCGTAGATCGTCGGGAAGTAGATCCGGAGGAGCACGAAGAAGTCGGCCTCGCTGGGTGGCAAGTTCTGGCAAGTGAGCAGCTTGAGCAAGTAGCCAAAGTCGTAGCCGCTGTGGAAGGTGATCCAGTGGACGCTCTCGTTGAGGATCACCCCCGAGGACATGAGCAGCTCGCCAAATCGCTCCGCGTCGATGCCGTGCTCCTGGTTCTTCTGGAAGTCTATGCCGCTCTGCTTGAGCAGCTCGATCGAGTCGTGGGCGTAAACGTCCTCCTTGATGTTAAACTCGCGGAAGTTAAACTGCCAGAGGTAGGACTCCCGGGTAGAGCCAAAGGTGGGGAGATTGCCGTCCTCGTCAGAGAATGTGAGCCCGAGCTGGATGAGCTTGAGCAAATCGACGTTGGCACGCAGCATCTGGTACGTGCCTGCCTTGAAGCCAATGGGGCGGACCACCACACCCGGGAACTCGGTGTCCATGGCCAGGTATGGGAAATCGTCCACAATCTCGCGGATGAGCTTGAATTCCTCCTCCAGATTCTCGGCCCACACCTCCCGGATCCGGAGGGTGGTGCCCTTTGACACTGCGGACATCTACACTCCAGTTCTTTGGCGTCGCCGGATTCTCTCACCTAGAAACAATGCCAGCGCCCGCTGCCGTGCTGCTGCCGCCACCGCCGCCGCTGCTGGAGATCAAGGAGATCGTCGCGGATTATCGCTCCATCGCCCTCTTGGCGCTGAGAGAGAGAGGGAGAAGAAAGAAGAGAATGTGGCAAACCCTAGCTCGAGCCAGGGGTCGAACCGGACCCACATTAAAGAGGAGGAACAGGGATTCGAAACTGGATCGGTTAGTTTGGATATTCGATAGGTATCGGATGGCTTTTGAAAAACGAGCGGGACAGGGATTCTAGGGTTGGGGATTTGAGATGTGAGGGCGCTCGGGCGCAACACTGGCGGCTGTCGGCATGCATAGGTCGTATTGATTCGCGCGTGAGCGTTTTGGCTGCCAGTTATCGCAGATCTGCGAGAATTTGGGGAGGTTTGATTCTCTGGCTGGATTTGTATCAAGGATTTATCGCTCTGTGTGTGGCAGGGTTATCGAACTAGAGTGTCATCAAGATGGTAGCAGTGAAAGAACCCCCGCCGGTATGATCAAGCCTTTTGCGTTTTCTTGGGCGTCCTGCTGATTAAAACTAACGAATGCAGGGGAAAGCTAACGAGAAGAAGAAGAAAAAAGTGATTCTAAACGAGTTCTCACAGTTACCAGCTAAGGCTAAGGTTTTCTTTCTTTTTTCTTTTTCTTCAGGTTCCGCCCAGACCAAGCGTCTTTAAAAACATGAAAGAGGATACGGATACAGTGGTTATCTCCACCAACGATGTCAATCGCATCAAGGTATTAAGCTTTGTGCTTTTTGTCTGTCAGAGTCCGCATTATCTCCTGTTCCAGGTGAATTCTGTGATCCTGACTCCGACAATGAGAGCGCAAATGGAGAAGGAGAAGTACGAAGAAAGGATGCGCAACTCTGCCATTGCTAACGAACGCAAGGCCATGATGTTGAAGGTAGTAATCAGTTTCATATCATTCCGATATCAATTTATATACGTGCAGATGGAGGAAGAAAGGAAGAAGAAGTCTGGTGCTATTCCTGAAAGCGAGAAGATAAAGAAGGAATTAGACGCCATGTATGGCTCTTGATCGTTGAAGTATGGCAGGAGATTAATCAATTTTGTTGCATATATTTGGGTTATTTCTCATGCTGTGTTTATTTCAGGACGCTTCAAAACGCCGCGAGGCTTACAGAAGAGCAGCTGGACGATGTGAAGCGCATGAATCAGATGATGCTTTATGCCAGATGCGTAACTATCAGAGATGAGCAGAAGAAAGAGAAAGTACGTATAAGCATGCTTTTTTGTGAAGGTAAACTTTTGTATCCCGAACTTGCAGACACAAAAGTTCAAGGAGCTTAAGGATTACAATCAAGAGGTGCACGAGGCCATGATGGCAAAGATTGTGAGAGAGCAGAAAGCACATGATGATCACGAGGCTCGAAGGCATCACCAACGAATGGAAGGTGCAGCGGTCATAAGGCATCAAATAAAGGTACTGGGAGTGATGAGGTTCTAAGCGGAAGTGTGACATGCATTTCTAGGAAAGAGAGGGTCACAGAAAAATCGAGGACGAGCTCAAGCAACTCGAAGGAATCCGTATCCGGAGGCAAGCGGAGAAGGACAAACTTGAAGAGGAGGAAAAAGCTAAAGTGAAGCATGAGGAGGGACAGAAACTTTACAAGGCGCTGTTGGAAGCAAATGCTGCCAATACGGAACAGAGAAAACTGATGAAGATGCTGGAGAAGGAGGAGGAGCAAAAGATTCAGCTTTACAACTACAAGAAGGCTGTTGCGGAGCAAGAGCGAGCTGACGAGGCCGAACGGATCCGTAAGCAGAAGGAGCTAGAAACTGCTCGCCTGCGAAGCATGCAAGAGAAGGCGCAGGGTCAACAGGCAGCGCTGGACGAGTTGAGAGCGCAGAGAATCCAGGAAGCCGTGGAGAGGGAGTGGAGGGAGAAAGAGAAGGCAGCTGCGGAGCGCTTGAGAAAGATGAACGAGGATCTGGCCGAGGCAAGGGAGCAGCAGAAGATGTTTAAGATCACGCAACTGGCGGAGCAGGCTAAACAGGAGAGAATCGAGTTCTTCAAGATCATAAAGGATCAGCAAGAGGCACTGCTCAAGGCTAAGATACTAGCGGAGGAGCAGCACAAACGAAACCTTCACCACAGGGACGATATAATGGGACAGATTGCAAAGAACAGGGAGGTCAGGCTCAAGGCCATCAAGGAGAAGTTTGAAGAGGGTGCAAGAGCTCGGTTGAAGCTGCTCGCCGAGTTTGAGAGGCTACGACAGATCAAAGAAAGGAAGCTCAAGGAGTTGGAGGCTGAAGGAGTGCCTGACAAGTATAGAGCGGAATTGGCACGTAAAAAGGTTGTCATCAATTGAGGCCGGGAAGGAAAATTACTTACAGGTTATTTAAAACTGGTTTTTGGGATTGGGGATAAAAAATCAGCTATGGCGTCTCAAGGGTATGCGTTGAGTTTAGTTTCTTCTTCTTCTTTGGTTTTCTTACTCTCGTTGGTTTCTTCCGGCAAGGTGGTGGTCCAAAGATACTGTAGCGGTTGTGACGGGAGGGAACAAAGGTATTGGGTTTGAAATCATAAGGCAACTAGCAAAGAAAGGCATCAGTGTCGTGCTCACGGCGCGGGATGAGAAGCGAGGCCTAGCAGCGCAGGCAAAGCTCAAGTCCGAGAACTTGCATGTCGAGTTTCGGGAGCTTGATGTGAGCAGCAGCGATTCCGTGGCCGGCTTGGCCAGTTGGCTCGAGAAGGAGTACAAAGGTTTTGACATTCTGGTGAGCGTTTGCTGGATTCGGCATGATTTCTCGATCGTCACTCGTTTCGATTCAGGTGAACAATGCTGCCGTCGTTGGAAACGAGTTTAGTTTCCAAGCTGTGAAAAACCTCGTAGATACAAACTACGAGGGCGTGAAGAGAACCACGCGAGTTTTATCGCCGCTACTTAGGCCCAGCCAAGCAGGAGCTCGGATCGTCAACATCAGCTCTCAACTCGGCCAACTCCATGTAAGCTTTTCATTCCTAGACAGTTTTTTGACTGATCAGGTTTCTTTTCTTCCATACAGAGGCTTGGCATTGAATCTTACAAAAAGAAACTCACAGACATAGAAAACCTGTCCAGAGAAGTGATCGATTCTTTCGTGGACGACTACCTCTCCGCTGTGAGAGACGGCAAAGTGGAGGCCAGCGGTTGGCCGCGGGGCATTTTCGGAGCCTACACGGTCTCAAAGATTGCTCTCAACGCCTACACTCGCCTAGTCGCTCGAGACGTCCAGCGAGAAGGACGCCAGCTCTACGTTAACTGCGTCCATCCGGGCTACGTCAAGACGGAGCTAAACAACAACCGAGGCTTTCTCTCCACCGAGCAAGGCGCGGACACCGCAGTGTGGCTTGCGCTCGCGCCTGCTAACGAGCAGAGCTCCGGGGATTTCTTCTACGAAAGGACAAAGTACGAGTTCTAAAGCTGCGTGGAAATGATCTAGATATGTTCATAGCTGAGTAAATTATTGTACAAGATGTTTAAATGGATGTTTATTTTGTTGTGAGTGTTTATTCAGCATTACATTTTTCAGCTTAAAAGATAAACATATGACAGGTATTTATATTTAACAGTTTTCAAATAAAATTATTTAATACTCTTTGATTTATATTATTATTATAATAAAATAATCTAGTAAGAAAAAAATTATTTAGATAACTTATTTATGATTTTTATTAAAATATATTTCACTTAAATTATAGCTGTGAGGTCTAAATGTATGACTACAATGCCATATACTAATATTAATATAGTGGGATTTTGGTAATTGTTATCTAAACCATTCGCTCTTGTATATAAGCTAAGGTTTTTTAGTATATTGATATGCATATTTTTTTCATATTCCATGCACTCACATTAATGGAAGTGAGGGGTACCTTTAATTGTCCCTAAAGGGTGCTTGGATTTGGGATTTTAGTTTAAATCTAGCTTTTGCATTGTCTAGATCTAATTTTTTCCATTTTATTTCTTTTATTATTTCCTTTCAGGATTTTGGTTTAGATCTAGTTTTGGCATTGTCTAAATCTCCTTTTCCTTCTAGCTTTTTTTTTCATTTCTTTTTTTTTTGCTCTTTCCTTTTCATTCATCTTCATTGTAAATTAGCAATCTCCTCCTCTTTTGACTCTAAAGTAACAATTGATGCAATTATTTGATGTTATGCAATTGTAATTAAACAACCAAACTCAGTTGATGGTAGCATTCACAGCACGTGGTACAGCTCCTTCTACTCTTAGTGCCAATCCTCACGTTTAGCCGAAGTTCTTTCATGGGAATCTTAAGGATGATGTGTATCATTGGTTACATCATTTCATGGTGATTGCCATATATCATTTTTGGGATGATACTTGACATTTGCGTGAGTTCTCCATGTGTCTCCAAGGGACAGCATTGAAGTGGTATAATGGTTTGAGTGTAGCCACTCGTGGGGATTGGAGTGTTCTCCTAGACGTCTTCAAACATGCATTCGGACATACCAATGATTGTGATGATGCTTTTCAACAATTGCATCGTCTTCATCAAAGGCCATCTGAGTCGGTGATGCAATTTAACGTTGGTTTCCAAAGCCTTTTGCTTCGTGCAGAGCCAAATATGTCGAAATGGATCAAGCTAGGAATGTTATAGTCAGCACTTTGTCAAGATCTTGTCAAACTTGTGTATGCACCTGCTCCAGCCACCCTTGAAAATGCTCTTTGCTTGGCACAACGTTATAAAACGTTGCCTCTTCCACTTTTCGTTGCACGTCCTTCAACTCCACTTCCTGTGGGTGATGGTCCTGTTCTCATGGAGGTTGATGCTACTGCTACTCGATTCCAAGGACAAGGGCGAGGACGTGGTCGTGACCGTGACATTTACTACTGTATGTGTGATGAAGTTGGTCACACTTATTGGTGTTCTCCATGTTTTCCAGATTAATGGCTTTCATTTCCTGGGTGAAAACCTTGGTGTTAACAATGTCCTATTGGTGCTATTGCAATGGAAGTTTTGGACACTAAGATGCATCTGGAAAACAAGGAGTTGCACAAGTAACGGAGGGACCTTACGCGAATAAGTTAGTGACCAAGTTAGTGAATAAGTTAGTGTCCATTTTTCTTTTAGCAGTATCATTAAAGGGTTCACTTGACACCAGTTCATCTAGTGTTTACTTTCCAAATTTGGTTTTATAACAAAAGGTCTCTTGTTATTCTCTTTGTGTTGGTTGATACAGGTTTAAGTTTATCTTTTATTGCTCGATCTGTTGCCACAAGTTGCCATCTACACTTGCGTTGTGTGGCAGAGCCAGTTTTCATTCTTTATGGCAATGGTTGTACACATACATGTGCACAGGATGAGGTGGACCTAGTTGTGTGTATGGGCGATCTCAAACTTGGGTTGTAGTTATTGCAGGTGGCGCCGAGTCAAGCTTTTGATCTCATCCTTGGTATGGATTGGTTGTAATGCAATTATGCCAAGTGTGACTTTGAGGCTTTTCCCTTTTGTCTCATACTTCTTTATATTTCATCAATTCCTCTCACTTTTATACCTTTTCGTCCCTTTGCTTCTACCTTTGCTTCCAATACTTTTGTTTCTCCACTACTTCCTCCTATATTTTTATCATGTTTTGCTCTTCCCTTTTCCGATCCCTCAAACAATCTTTGCGTTGTAACAATTGATTAGCTCATGAAGGGGTATGCCAATCTCTTTGAATTTGACCTATTGTCTGGGATTAAGATTGCCACACGTCATCCTATTCCAACTAGGGATGCTCATCCAATCAAGATTCTTGTTTGTTATCAGTCACCCAAAGAGATCAAAGTTTTACATACAAATATCAAGGAGATGTTGGAAAAGGGTCTTATTAGAAAATCATGAAGTCCTTGGGCATGTGAACCTCATATTGTGACAAAGCCTGATGGGAGTATTCATTTCTGCATTGACTATCATTTATTAAATAAAGTGACGATCCCAGATATGTACCCTCTTCCTCACACTGCTGATATCTTGGATCATCTGGGAAAAAGTCGATGGTTCACTAAGCTAGATCTTGCTTTTGGGTACTGACAAATATCAATGGCCGAAGAAGATATTCCTAAGACTGTTTTTTATACACTATTTGGTTTGTACAAGTTCTTGATAATGTTGTTTGGTTTGAACAATGCTCCAGCAACTTCCCAGCGGATGATGGACGAGGTTCTTTGTGATATGCCAGAGGTGACTACTGACTTCATTAATGATATTTTGATCCACTTAGAGGGGACATGTGAAGAACACATCTGTGATGTTTGTAAAGTGTTGGATCGGCTACAAAAATTTGGTTTAAAACTGAAGCAGTCAAAGTGTGTGTTCGTGTCCAAGGACACGACTCATCTTGGGTACCATATTTCTTGTGAGGGTTTGCAAATTAATCTTGACAAACTTGTAACTGTTCTAAAGTTCCCTACTCCAAAGCATGTGTATGATATGCACTAAATCAGAAGACTTTAGCAATGCTCGCAACGATGCAGTGTGATCAGAAAAATGATCCACAAAACAACTAAAATATTACACCTTGCCCAAAAGAATGGGTGTTCAAGGATCTCAAAGAGTTATTAATGACTCTTCCGGTTTTAACATATCCTGACTACACTTGACTTTTCATTTTGAACGTAGATGCTTCTAACATTGGTCTTGGAAGTGTGTTGATGCAAAAGAGCCCGAGTGTGCCTAGTTAGTGCCATCCCATTACATATATAAGCTATACATTACCAATGGAGGTGAACTACTCCACGATAAAAAATAAATGTTTAGTAGCAATCTTGGGTTTTGAGAAACTTCATGCATATCTACATGGTTCTCAGACGTTACTAAAAGGTGATCATTTTGCCATTACTTCATTATTAAAGCAAAAGAACCCAGTTTGTCGTGTTGCTCAGTGGGTTTTGAAGCTTCAAATATATGGTTTTGATGTTGTTTATCATCTTGGGAGTTTTATGGCTGATGCTGATGCCCTTTCTCAAGCTCCTCTTCCTTTTTCACTCTCTTCTCATGTTTCTGATGAGCTTGCAATTCTAGCATCTATGGATTTTCTCGAGCATGTGCAACGGTTGAAACGCTTCGTACAAAGGGATCAGGAACAACTAATATCACCTACAAATCCACCAATGCCTCCTCCTGACGTTCCTCCAGATCCCAACCCATCTATAAGAGAACTTTGATGGTCTTTTATTATTCTAAGAGGAGGGGATGATGTGAGGTAAGTGTATAGCTACAATACTATATACTAATATTAACATAGTAAGATTTTGGTAGCTGTCAAATTGATTTCAATGGGAAATAAATTCAAAAGATCAATTCCACTTACACTGTTTATGCACCGGCACCATTGTGATCCATTTCGAGAAGCATGCATTTCCCAGAGATTTTCTTGCAAGAGATGGCAATGATGGGACAGG